TGATCTGTAGTGGGGTCAAATGTTGAAACAGGAACTGTACACGCTCGCCACATGTGGGTGGCTGAAAGGCTGTTTCAAATGTGGACCTAATAAGAGATGGATGTTTGGATAGAAAAAGGCCTCATCTTATAGCGCTCACAATCACTTGATTCCTTGTTTGAAACCATTCTTAATCCGGGCAGTTTTTCTCCTCACATTCTTCAGCCTTTTTGATCTTCGTTAAGCTTCGACCAGGGAATGCTGCTTATAAATAGCTGGTTCACTCCTTGCTAATAACAAACCAGATGCTGGATGCATGTATTTAAGGCCATCTACCCATGAAATAGGCGGAACACGGCTAAAAAGTTACATTCTGGCGGTGCGCCTCGTTGATGTTCGACCTGATAAGATTTTGTTTGTTTTTCTGTCCTTCTGAAGCTTTACCACGGTCTCTTGTGCATTGTGAACTATTAGAAAAGGCAAACATCCTCTACAGCGTTATAGACCCATGCCCGGTGTCCCGACAAGAAGTACTAACAACAAACAAAAAAAAACTTGATAAAGAAATACAAAAATGAAGAGCTATCCCTCAAGATTTGAAAAATATTGAATGTGTTATTCAAGTATGGTGAATAGCACAAATATGCCTCTTAGTTACAAAATTGTGTTCCCTCAGTATTGATTGATTGAGTCAAAAAATCGAAAGAATTTAAGAAGTCAAAGACTTAAGAATGTTGATGGTTTTACTGTCATTGATACCCGTGCTGATCTGTAGAAAGCAGGGCCGCCCTGACAGAGGAAGCTACGCAGCTCAGGGCTGTCAGCTCGCACAAACTGATCAGTTTTAATAGCCGTTTTATCGGCCCATAGGGATGGTGCCACGTTTTTAACGCTTCTTTCACTCTTTTTGTGAAAGTGAAAGAAATGTGAGGCCACCTTGTCCACATCAGAACGCCTTGACTGTGATCCACACACTCCCCAGTGCTGAAACATCTGTTTACGCACTTCAAAGCTGCAAAAATAATCAGTGAGCGTAATTCTTTGGAGGTTTGTTGTCCCTCGGGCTGCGTGGATCTGAATGAATGAGCCCTGTCTGTTGGATAAAAGTGTTTCTGCTCACCAGCAGAACACCGATCAGAAGGAGGGAGCCAGGCTAACAAGACCATCATAACATTTATATATATATATTTATATATATATTGCATTAGGGGATTTTTTTTAGCTCCTCTTGAAGCTCGCACACCATTGTCCTTCCCAGATTTGACAGGGTAAAGCAACTGGGTGATTATCCTGAAGTGTAGGTGTTTTTTTGGGAACAGTTATAGTTATAATACACATTTTCCATTTTTATCTGGAGATTGAAAGGTGTGATTCAGTGTAAAGGTTTTCAGACTCGCAATAAAAGGCATCACTTTTTTTCTTCAAAGTGTGAACATCAACCAGTCTTTTTGTGGCCTAGATTCAGAGTCATCAATTATTACAGCACAGGCGCCTAACGGCAGACATGAAACTTAAAACTAATCTTTAATATTAAACCTTATGCGTGCATTAGCCACCGTCTCCTCATTTATTAGTTATTTGTTCTGCACTTTGGAAGATTCTCTACTTTATGCTGTAGATCTCTCCGAAGCATCGTTAGGTCAGGCGCATTCACCTCCTTTTTGTCGTTGTTTGTGCACAATCGTGCGTTCATGTTGCTTTGATGCCTCCTCTGGCCCTAAAGAACACAGACGAGCAGTCAGGAGGAAAATTGCTTAACCTGCTGTACGTTGACGTCTGCTGTGTGACAGGATGCAGTACGTGTGGTCTGTGGTCGAAGAGGTCTGTCAGTCCCCTTGTGTAAATGCAGCTCTTCAACAGCTTGTGTGTGTGTGTGTGCGTGTGTGCGTCGACCTCCGAAATCTCTATGGTGTTGCTGGTAAATATCTGCTCCTGACTGTGAGACTTTTACTCCATAAGAGGAGTCACCAGTCATTTAATCCACACCACTTCAGCATGCGTGACATCAAATTGGAAAATGATGATAGAGTGATTTTAGTTGGTCATATCCTCTGAAAGCAGGGCTCTTTTGCTAGGATTTATCCCTGATGAGCCACGCTCACTGTTTTGATAACCTAATGTTCAAGCTTTTTTTCCCTAAATACAGCTGTTCTGCACCCTTTAAAGAAATATGTGCCTCCTTACCGGGTAAAACTGGCAGGTCAATACAAGCCGAATTTACCGCTTCACAGCATATGAGTACCAGGAACAGGGTCCATTCATTTCAGCAGCCTAAAAAGGACAGATTAAATTCATGTGCCGCAACATGTAACATAAGACCTTTTTGTTATTTGCTGTTAGTTGCTAGCATAAAGCACCGCTGAGATAAGAGGCAACCAATCCAATGTTCTAGCCTGGATTTGATTTCTGTGATGGCTCAGTCACATCTGCTTGTAATCCTGGCATGCCTTACTGGAAATTATCTGTGTTTTCCTCCTCCACACAGCACCAGGTGGAGTCCTAGAATAAGAAGATTGTAGCAAACAACTGGCTCAGTGTTTCAAGCCCCTTGTGTGCAGGGGTGGTTTGTACTGTCAGGAACTGGGCCATTCAGATCAACAGGAAAGTATGTGAATGTGGACCAGGTGACTCTCTCTGTTTCCACTTATTTGGTTTCTGGTATGTGTTCTGAATTCCCGAGTCTGCGCGTTCATGCCGCAGCTGATGGGTCATCTGTGATGGCCCTGTGGGCCCGACGCACCAGCCCCACATCCCCGCTCTGTCAGGAGACTCTGCCCCAGGGTCCGGGGACTTTGCCGTATGTAGGACCCTCACTGGGACAGATGTAAAAATAGCTCATTGAACAGCACAATGAACACTGGCAGCGCCATCGCTCACAGAGCTGCCGTCTGTGTCACGCTGCGGATGAAGTCAAATAGCAGCTTTACAATACCATCCACCCCCCCCCCCCCCCACACACACACACAAAAATAACAAAACACATCCACTTTCTTTAGTTGGTAGAGTTGTGTTTTGGGTCCATGCAGAGAAGTGACCCATGCTGTGTTGTGGGAGAAAAAGGCGTTGTTATGAGGGTTTTGTGTTTTGGTTAGCTAACGCAATGAATGACCGATCTGTTGGCTTGTGACTGTGCTTTGTTCTCACACTGTGAGAGGAGCCAGAGAGGACACAGATTCACATGGCTCCATGCTCATCACTGTCTTTTATTATTTATCAGGTGCTTATTTAGCATCTGATAAATAATCAGATGCTAAATAAGCGTCACATGCACAAAAGCTAAATTAATCCCACTGTGGACTATGCAGAGAATGGAGATGAACCCGTCACATGTGTCCAGCCACAGGTCTGCGGCACCGTGTGCCAGATGTTTGCCACCAGATACGTGTTAAGTATGTCATAACTGAGAGAACTGGTGGAATGATGGATTATAGTGTCCTCTGCATACTCTGCTAGACCTGTGAAAGCTGAGGCAGGCTGCTCAAATCAGCACCTCCCCGGCTGCAGACGGTGCAGCATCCCATTAGACGCAACCTGCAATGCAAGGTTATATAAAAAGACACTAATTAGATTCCGAGCACTCAAGAGTAATTCCACATTGAGCTCTCCTTTGTTTCGGGGAGAAGAGGGTTGAAAAAGTTGAGCTATGAAATGACACAGATAAATTGTGTCAACTGAAGCTTTTCAAACCATTGAAATGTTCCTGATCAAACCACACACACAATGTTCTCAATATTTTTGCAGTGTTTGATAAATTTCTGGAAAAAAAAAGAAGAAATTTCCTATTCGTATGTTCATTTGCTCCCCTGGATACATACTTTTGAGTGAGCCCTGCTCCATCTGGCTTGTTAGGCCCCTGCGGCTCCTAATGAGTGTGTGCCCGATATGATTTTCCCCGGTCGCAATCAAGAAGGTACACACTCCTCTGTAAAAGCTTTCAGGGCAAGAAGGTGTGTATGGACGCCAGGAGAAAGTGCCACTAGGTTGAAAGAAACCTCTGTTCACCTTGAAGAGGGAACCCATTCAAACGTCTGAGGAATGTTCTGCCACAGTGAAAGCGCCCAAAAAGCCCCCGTCGCTCACAAATGGATTATGTTTGCAGCCAAACTGAGCTGTCACACACCTTGGTGATGCAGGAAGCAAACAAGTCCAGCACAAGTTCCTTTGTGGTAGTGGGAGATACCTATAATAAAACAACATCATTGGCCTCCATCGGTATTCAGGCCTTTGTGGTAGGATGGCCAAACAGAAGCTATTTTTTACTCCTGGGTACCTGGCAGCTGCTTGGAATTTTCCAAGGAGATATGAAGAATTGTTTTCAGATGAAGCATAAACTGAACTATTTGATGACAATCTTAGCTAAATATGAGATGGAAATCAAGCAGAGAGCAACACCTCATTGGTGATCTAACAACAACAGATCTAACAATCTGGCATGGCGATGGCAGCATCGTTCTGTGAGTCAGAAAGACCAAAAAAATACAAAGGAAACTATGAAAATCCAGTAATCTATTCAAAGAGCATGTAAGATAAATGTTGGTAGCGTTAAACTTTCTGTGGGCAGTGTATGTATTTACATATGTTTATGTAAAGTGGTGTTTTAAATTGTGCGGTTCCTGTGGAAATAAACTGAGCACATCTGTGAGCTGGTTAGCTGGACAAACTTTCTACTAACACTTAGCTTGTTACCTAATCATAGACTTTAGCCTTACAGATCACAATAATGTTCAAGCTAAACCCAAACAAGCTGTGAAAACAGGGATTACTCTCTTTGGGCTGGAAAAGATGCTTAATTAGGAATAGAATGTGATATCTTAATGTTCTCTCAGGGAGAATGAGGCTGTTTCTAATCAGCGTCCCTTCCACAACCCTCGGGTTTGAATAATGAACCTCTGCCACGGATCATTTTGAGCTTGTGTTCTCACTGCTCACTGCTCTTTGTTCTTCACCACGTGAAAGCACTGCTGTCTCTCTTTCGAATAAATCTTGTCCGGAAGAGACAGAATTGATTTTGTGACGGCGCTTTGATCTCCCTCTCTCATTTTCTTTGCAGCTTGAAAGCTTTAGTTTCGACGGGAGGCAAAAACGTCCAGGCAGCCTGCGACTGGTGAGCACAGCATACACACGCGCACTCATATTCTCGCTCATGCTAGTTAATGCCGAACAGGAGATCAAACACAACTTCTTTGAATGGTGGGCATCTTTTGACCCGACTGCTCTTACAACATCACTGCCCTCTGCTGGACAACTGCAGCTCTGCTTGTTTCTAATCTGCCTTCACTTCCTTTGCTTCCCTGTGGTCACCTCAGGCTCTTCTCCCACTTGGATGACCCTTTCTTGGACGACCCCCTGCCCAGAGAGTATGTGCTATACCTCCGTCCCAGCGGGCCGCTGCTCCAGCAGCTCACACACTTCTGGAAGCAGTCCCGCCTTTCCTGTGGCAAGAACAAGGCACACAACATCTTCCCCCACATCACGCTCTGCCAGTTCTTCATGGCAAGTTTCACCCCTTGATGTTCATCTATTCTGCTCACATGCATCACATATTGATACTTAAAACAAAGTCCAATCTCAGTTAAGACCTCTGTAATGCGGTAAAACACATGAGGTGAATGACCAAATAAAGTCAATGATCTGCTCTTCTTAAGCATTTAGCACGCGCAAAAGTTCCCCCACATTTTACGTGTAAGGGTGATCACTTTTTGTCGTCTGTACTTCACTCAGTGTGCAGATGCGAAGGTGGAGGCGCTGTCTGACAGCCTCCAGACCACAATGGCCAAATGGAAGGGTCACATACCCATGCCTCTCCCTCTGGAGCTCTACACATCCTCCACCTTCATTGGGCTCTTTGTGGAGGAGCAGATGGCAGAGGTTCTGAAGAGTTTTGCTGCCGATTTTGCCACTGAGGCTACATCCAAAGCAGGTTGGATTTTCCTTCTTTCTCAAGATTTCAGACATGAACATTGGATTTTCTGTTCTAGTTAACATTGCTCAGACATTTGACCCTCTGCTTCCACCCAGATGTTCACGTTGAGCCTCATAAGAAGCAGCTTCATGTCACTTTGGCATACCACTTTCAAGCCAGTCATCTTCCAGTTTTGGAGAAGTTGGCCAAAAATGTGGATGCGTCAGCAGGCTGTGATTGGCTGGCCGTGCTTTTGTCCAGGGATATCCGTTTTGCTAATCACGAGGTAAGAAATAAGCAACGACAAATTCCCATCACTTTTCCTACTCAGGAGCATTAAAATGACCCCCCCCCCCCCCCCCCTGCTTCCTTTCACAGACGCTGCAAGTCTTGTACCCGTATGTGCCTCAGAATGACGATGAGCTGGAGTTGGTGCAGGGAGACTTCATCTTCATGTCTCCAGTGGAGCAGACCACTGCCAGTGAAGGGTGGTTGTACGGCACCTCTCTGGGCTCGGGTCTGTCCGGCCTGCTGCCTGAGAACTACGTTAGCCGTGCTGATGAGTCTGACACCTGGGTTGTCCACGGGTAAGGGAGGAAGAGTGCCGCTTGAGACTAATGCTCTTAATCGCTGTGGAAAAACTGAATTGCATGGGTGGATAAACGTGTGTGGGTCTGCGTTTGTTTGATTTCCAGGTCTCACTCCTTTCTCAACTGTGCCTCTCCATCTACCTCCGGTAGCACCGTGGGTGGGTTATTATTCGACGGACAGCTAAATGACAGTCTACTGGACAGTTTTATGGATCCTTCCAGCCTTTCTGGCCTCTGTCCTCCTATGCAGGTGAATTACGTCCCCACCGACAGCATTATCGTGGATTTCAGGAGAAAGGAGCTGCTTTAGATGTCTTCAATACTTCAGGGTTTAAAACGCATCTCAATTTTAGGTGTCAAGGCCAAGTGGTCAGCCCTCCTTATCCAAGATGAGAATGTTTGTGTGTCGCCATGGCGAGAGGATGGATGTGGTGTTTGGAAAACACTGGGTCACTCAGTGCTTTGATTCTAAAGGTTGGCACACAGAGGAGATTACACCACGGTGAAATGGTCTAACATTAGACTCTTTTTACAAAATTAGATCCGTCCTTTGAAAGATTCTCCCTCGTTCTGTGTAGGCCGATACATTCGCTCTAATCTCAACATGCCGTCCAGCCTACCAGCCAGAAGCGGAGGTCAACGGGACTACGATAAGGACTGTCCTATTACTGTGTTTGGCTCCACACAAGCCCGCCTTGTAGGTCAGTGTAATAACAATAATCTGTGCATGTTGTTTACCAGTGCAGAGTTATTTCCCAAAAGATAATGAAGGTTTCATAAAAATCTGGCTCCTCTCAGGTGAAGCCCTGTTGGAAAGCAGCACGACATTAGACTTTGTTTACTGCTCTCCTTCTCTTCGCTGCGTCCAGACTGCCCACAACATTCTGCAGGGTAAGACCCCACTTTCAGTCACCTCATTAATATTCTGACCAAGGTTACCATCGAGTTTCGTATCCCCTTCAGCTGGGATGGTCATTTTGAATCGTTACTAGTGTCTGATAATGAAAAGACTTCTTCTGAAATATCCATTTTGCCCTCGAGGTCATTGGGATTTGTCTGCTAAGCCCGTGAGAAGAAAATCTCAGCAGTACCAAGCGACCTCATTAGGAAACAATATTGATTGAAGTTTCCAGGAGATCTATCATCTTTTCCCATCTCCATACCTTTTTTTTTTTTGGTCAAAGCCCAAGTCCTAAAATTAGTATTAGTTTGGGCATAAGGGAATGACAAAATGGCCTTAGTAAACTAACAAACTACCAGCTCAACAGAAAATGTTAATGTGGCCATACACATGTTTTGGCTTTGACAGCGTGTGCCTGTGCTTTCTGTAGGTCTTCAGCAGGAAGGAAAGACAAAAATCCGGGTGGAGCCTGGTTTGTTTGAATGGACCAAATGGGTTTCAGGCACATGTTTACCCACCTGGATCCCCCCGGCTGAGCTAGCTGCCGCTAACCTAAGCGTGGACACAACATACAGGTACCCAAAAACCATGATGCAGCTGCATCTGTCATAATGTGGTGTAATGCTTTCTAATGCAGTTATCTATTTGTCCCCAGACCTCATATTCCCATTAGTAAGTTGGCAGTTTCGGAGTCCTATGACACCTACATCAGCAGGAGCTTCCAAGCGACCCGAGAGATTCTGACAGAGTGCAAAAGTCTGGGTAAAATATAATTATGTACATGTAATACTCAGGAGTTTTGGATTAATACCTAAATAGAAAAACGTGTTCAGCAAGAGGGTTCTGGGTTTGAGTCCCGGGGGAACCAGGGACCCAGGGAACCAAGACATTTCTGTGTGGAGTTTGCATGTTCTCCCTGTGTCTATGTGGGTTCTCTCCGGGTTCTCCGGCTTCCTCCCACCATCCAGAAACCTGCATGTCAGGTTGATTGGACATTCCAAACTGCCCTTAGGAGTGAGTGTGAGTGGTTGTTCGTCCTTGTGTGTCTCTGTGGGGCCCTGTGATGGACTGGTGGACTGTCCAGGGTGTACCCCACCTTCATCAACAAACCTGAGAACTACTGAGTCCGTCCAGTAAAATAAGGGGAATGTGTCTTTAAGCTCTGTGCCTCTCTCACGCAGGAAACACGGTCCTGATTGTGGCCCATGCTTCCTCCCTAGAGGCCTGCACTCGCCAGATACAAGGCCTCACCCCCCAAAACTCCAAGGACTTTGTCCAAGTCGTCCGCAAGGTCGGTTTTCTGCTTCAGCTCCAGTGCGCTTTTAAATTTCTTTGATATCGTTTCCAGCTCCTGTTTATACTTGTGTCAGTACAAGCACATTTTTTGGTCTTTTTCAGATTCCTTACCTGGGATTTTGTGCTTGTGAGGAAATGGGAGACACGGGGGTGTGGCAGCTGGTTGACCCACCCATCTTGCCTCTGACACATGGACCTAATCACAGTTTCAACTGGAGGGAAATGCTCATGCATGACTGAAGGATATGATGTTTGGCCCTCTGTATTTTTTTGTCGGCCTGAATTGCTGAAAAAAATATTTATTTCTTCCTACATTGTTAGAATTCCACTCCAATGACCAAAAAGACTGAGACAAAAACAGTGACTTCCATCAGAGACATGTTAAAGGAAATGAAAGGTCCTTAAATGGAGGCAAATATAATCCGATGCACTGCTCAGGAAGGAGAAAATACAACCTGTAGTGATCCCAGCAAAAATTAGCTTTGTCGCCTGTCTCTTAGTGTTATACTTCTGTGACCAGAATGTGGAGATGCTACAAAAAATATGGATATATCTCGAGGGTTGTGATGAATCAGGTTTTAAGCTATGACAAGCTCTGTCTGTGACCCCTCCTCAGGCCCGAGGGCTGGTGGTGAACTTTTGAGCTCTGCTGCCTTCTCACACACTGTGACATGAATTCGTTGGGACAGACTTGTATCAGAAAAAAAATATTTTTCCATGTGTCCAAAATTATTTAACTTGTAGCGACAAGCCCCTTGTGAAAAGCACAAACAGAAAGGTTGACAATCAGACAGGGGAGCACTGATCCTCATTGTTTCTCATTGTGCTGAGGTGGGTAGTTTATTTGACCTGTTTTAGTCCTGTAAATGTCATATCATTTCCTACTACCTTAAAAATTATGTGCCCACGTGAATATTTTACCCAATGTTGTCCACAGTATTTATTTTGAGGCAACCAAGTCAGAATGGTAAAATGGAATTAATATAATGACACAAAATTATGTTGCATTAATATCCTGGTGCCTCGACTAAAATTCTTGCTTGTTTATCATAGCCCTGAAACTCTGTAATCCTCATAACCAGAATGCTTTTCAAATTCTTGGTGCAATGAGTTTTTTTTTGTTTTTTTGGCTACATCAGATGATTTAAGTGCTCACCATTTATTTGCTATATGAAATCTGTTGATACCATACAAATGAATAAAGCAACATTTTGAAGCTATTAAAACCTAAACATTTCAGCCTGTTGTGTGTTTTCTGAAAGCGTTGCACTGCTTCATGCAAGTGACAGGTGAGATAGTAAGTCTTTAGTATTTCATGAAAATTTAAACCCATAGTGAATTTGACGGCAGCATGCTCAGGAAACAGTTGGAATGGTGGCAACAAAATGCTAAAATAAAACGCTAAAAAAATCAATGGCAATAAAGAGAAACAGCTGGATGTACATTTTTAAACAAAATATGCTAATTGGGAGAAACATGCCTTGAAATAAAATAACTCCTTTAAGCGGCAGAGCCTCATAGCAGTAGGAAACTGCAAAAAAAATTGTGTTTACATAATTGTTTTTAGACTTTTAAAATATCAGGTGCTGGTGATCTATGTGACTCCAGAACCGCTGCATTAAAAAAACTAAAGATTCATGGAATGGAAACTTCTCCAAATTGTGAGGGGAAAAAAAAACAGACCAGATGCTCCAGGGGCCTGCCAGTAGTCCAAACTGTCCTCAAATTGAGGATGTTTGGATATTTTGGATACTTTTGTATAACAAAACACAAAATCAGACACCTGAGCAGCATCTAGAATGAATCATAACACAAGAGCAACCAGGTATAGGAGCTGGTGTTTTCATGAGATAATGTGATGCCACGTATTCCGCGGGTGACCCTAAATATGTGGCATTGCTCAGCTGTTCATGTTTAGCTCTAATTAGGGTACCGACTTTACGTGTGTTTGTATTAATTTTTACACGCTTGCAGACTTTGGACGGAAGGATTCTCTTTAAAAATCATGGTACATACATCTTTTTTCATGTTAATCATTTGGTTCGGTTTAATACAAATATAAGATTTACTAATGATATTACAGCCTCAGCGGCGATATAATGTACATTTTGGACAGGGGAAAAACAATCTCTAGCATTACAAAACCTATGATTAGTCTAGCTAAGCTAGCAAAAAGCTATCCTGCTAGCATTTTTTCCTTAATCTTCTCTGGTTTGATATATAACTTTTGTCATACGTTTTATAGTAAATTGCATTCGTATACTTAATCAAACATTTAAAAATATTTATTTTTAGACGGCAACGATATGCTACTAAACGTTCATTTTTGTGGTTAATGCAAATTTGTCTTACAATTAAGTTATAGTTGAGCTATACAATGGCGGGATTCAACATTCAGAAAGTATAATACTACATTCTTTAACTAAACGTATATTTATTTTTAGCCTGCAGAGTGGAGGTGAAATATAAACTGTACCTGGTCTATCTGTGTTTGTGATTGTTGTTGAATACCCCCATACCAGCAAAATATTTAAAAGTGTCTCATCGTTTCCCTAATATCAGGCTAGATATAGTCAACGTATTTTTTTGTGTTGTTATTTTTCAGGTGATACCATATCTGCTGACAATTATCAAGCACTTAAATGTCATTCAAAAGTACGTGCGTAAAATATATTTCCTTTAAGAGTACGGTGAAGTTAAATAAATCACTCAACCTCAAATGTAAAAATGAATTTGATGTTAACTGAAGACTCAGGCTCAGGAATCATATATACACGGGATTGAAGTGTTTTGTGATTAAACAGATTTAAGAAATATTTCAAGAGATAAATCGTGGAAGCTCATGGATCAGAAATCTAAAGTTAAAAGATTACACTTCATACCGCAAGTGTACAGTTATTACTTATATCAGACTCAGGAGATTCAACTGGATTGTTTAGATTCCTTCATCTTCTGTCAGCAAGAGTTTCTAATCTGAGTTTTCATCACTCATCATGCACACTTGTACGAAGGACCAGTTTGACAAATTTAGAGGTGAGAGAGAAGCACTAGATGGTGCTGTTGATCAGCTCCGATAACAACGCTGTAGTTTTCTTCCAACAAGCACTCTGAGACTGTGACTCAGTTTAAATTCGCTAAATTTCCTTATGTCCTGCCTTCTATCCATTCAGTGTAAGGCGTAATCTATAGCTTTCAAATTAAAGAAATTTTGCATGCTAATTTAACATTTTAAGCCAGAGCAGATTTTTTTTTAGAAGTCATTCCACCAGTGGCAAATTAGTTGACTTCAGAAATTAGATTTGATAAAGTATGGAAAATGAGTTTGCCTAGTACTTATGTAATCAGGCCCGCTATTTTGTTTTTCTATATATTTCCCTGTAGTGCTCAGAGGGCAGTGGCAGAGCTGCCCAACATCGCTGCAGGTAGCAGGGAGGTGTGAAGCCCTTCTCAACATTCATATGTGGACAGCATATTACAGAACAGTCTAAAAATGAAAGGGGCACATTTATTCTTGTCTATGTTGATGAAGGCTCCCAAATTCTCATTTATAAATTCAAGTGTTGTTGTTGACTTACAATTCCCTGTATTCACAAATGTAGTTTATCAAAATTTTAGCTGAAAAAAAACAAATCTAAATTAAAAAGAGTTTTATTTATATTTTGCAGAGCTTGAAATTAAACGGCTAGCTCTACACCAGTGATTTGGATCTCAGTGTCAAACTTTAAAAAGTGATAAATAAGAAGAAGAGCACTTTCTGTGCATATGCAGATTTTTAATGACCTGAAGCTTCAGTCTCAAATAGCAGCTATTTTTCTACCCACATGCAGATTTGTTTCTCCTAAATCTGTGTTAATCAGTTTTGCAGCACGCAGCACATTTACCCAACTAATAAAATCTCATGTTTCTTGATACACGTTAGGAAGTAATTTTGTAGTAATAATTAGAATAATTAGATCTGGTTGATTAGAGATTATAACATTATTCTCTAAATTGTTTTTGTCAGATGATTTGAGTGCTGAGTTTATTAGATAATGAGTTACTGCCTTATAAGTAATGAATTAAACTTTATCATGAACAAGATTGAAATATATTACAAGTTGTGGATACTGAGTACAACTTGCAGACCTTTTTCTGTCCCGACTATCACAAAATCATTTTTGGACCCCAGGCCATTGTGTACAGTGTCTCCTGGCCATATCTGGTAACAGATTCCTGCCTCCCATTTTGGGTTGTCAGACACGTTGTTGTACACCCATGGCAGTCTGTAAATAAGACCTATCTAAAGTGGGTGTCATTTTTGTCTCCCAGACTCTCTACTGGCAATGTCAGCCAGGACACAAAAACGGAACGGTCAGTTCAAGTTTTAAGTCTGGCTTTCATCCCTGGGGTCCCACATCTACTGAAAGGAAAAAAGAAAAAAAACCCACCCAATATTGTAATTTAACAATAATACAGATGGTATGACGCAGACGATGTAATTAAGGGACAGCTTCTAATCAGGTGACTTCTGTTTGATGGGACCGGCTTGTGCTTACTTCAGGGAGATGCAGTCATGTGGCTAATGTGCATTTTTCCCTGATTTCGGGACAGAGCTGGAGTATTCGATGTGAAAAGGCAATGTTAGGTGGAGAAGTGGAACTGCCTTAGAACGTTGAGCTGCATAACTTATCACTATGTCAGTAAATGAAGCTATTTTGGCTGATTTGGTTCAAATAGAAAACAAAAAAAGAGCCAAATTTATGTTGAGCTGCCTCACTTGTTGTCTGCTGAGGCACAGTAACTAGTTTTTAAAAACATGCCATGGAGAAATATATCAAGGACATGAAAAGGGCAAATCAAGGTACTCTTGTGGTTTTAAAAAAAGTTAAAGCGCAAGAGAAAAAAATGGAGTTGCTAAATAGTCTGTATCATAGTTATCTTAAGAAGCTCTGTAAGGTGAAAATGGATTTAAAAAGATATTTTGATATAAATTAAATATGAATAATTGTAATTTACACGAGAGGAGTTTATTATTCCATATGTACATTTGTCCCGTCAGCAATGGGATTTGTAGCTCTGATCAGTCATAAGGCTGGACACAGCTGTCACAAGTTAGAGAGGCTTATTTTCAAAGCTTAAGTGCCTTCTGAGTGTGAGCACAAGGACACGTGAAGTACCAGGTTGTCAGGTACATAGACGGAGGCGGCATCTCTCCTGAATTCAGCTGGGTTGTGCATTATTATCAGTTGAAAGGGCTTTCC